GGGAGCCACTCCGCGGGGCCGTACTAATACTATTTTTTCAACACATAGCGCAAATTTGACCGCACCCCGATCAACCACCGCGCCCAGAATCTTGCCCTGTCTTTTGCTTTTTACTTTGCCCGCTTTTTACGATATGTTCGCACCGAAAGTTCTCTTTGTGTGCTCGAAGTGAAGCGCATGAAACCCAGAAATTGGCGCGACCACGTACTAAACGGGATTTTTGGTCAGGTGGCAGAGGTAATCTGGGGGTTTAGCGAAGTCAGTGCTATCCGAGTCCTGACCATCGAACACAGCGATTCACGGCCTAGTCGCCCCCCAGAAGTTAGATTTCACTTATCTTAGCCTTTGCCACACTAGCATCCTATTTTGTGCCTAATCAATCGGAGAGAAGTGTCTCGGCGGATTACCGTAAATTTTTCAACGGTGTCGAGCCCGTTGGTATCACTCTGGAACACTGCTCAAGGCGTTTATCTTGCTCTGCTGCAAGCGCATGAGCCACACTGACCCTTCTTTAAATCATGCCGTAAAGACAGATATTTATTGACCAATTCGCTCGCTGCTTCGATCGGAAACGCAAATATGCGGCCTTCCTTTGCACCAAGATAGAAATCAGCGCGAGAATGTTGATCCGCGAGCGCTTTTCATCCAGCAGGCGTCGATCATTGCGAAAACCGGCTACGTTAGCAGAACAGCACCCTGGTGAATCCGGGACGACGTACCTTGCGTACTAGATGCTGGCGAAAACGTCGATTAGTATCGAACTCACTTTGCACACTGGAAAAGGAAAACACGCTGCACCACCCGCGTCAATACCTTACAAGCCTCAGGGAAACGTGCGATCGCCAAGAAAGCCTATTCATTTTTACTCTGCTGAGCCTGACACGAACGTCGAAGCGACAGTTCATACCATAAGAGAATAGCCAGTAACATGGGATGGTCGAGAAGCTGCTTAATCTGCAACAGAGCTCTCCACGTTTGGACTGCTCTTGAGTGCGATATTGTGGTATGGTTCTCGAAAGCTCTTGGAGACCATTTTATGTTCCTATTCTTTGTGACAACGAGCAGTGTCCCTAAATCCCTTGATAGGTAATAAAACCTACGACCGCACAAAAGATCCGATGTAGCGTGGACACAACATTCCACAGGCATTGCATCTGTAGGAATGCAAACTGCTTGATTACATTTCACCCCCAACATATTCGTGAGTGTTCTACATCCTTCTGCCACGGGCATATTGATTTTTTTATTTTCGTTCAAAGCGATGGCGTCGTATACCCTGTTTTGATGTTCTATGCCGCTGAGATGAGATCATTACTTTTGCTACGATAAAGCACCTAGGGTATTAAGCAGGGAAATTTAGTTGAGTCATGTACTTCAGTATTTAATACAAATTCAATCAGTGGAAAAACTCGGCTCAGTGACGGGGTCTCTTCGCGTAAGTGCTCTGTAGGCAAATCTCTACCGCACGACTTACAAGCTGCTTACGAGTGGCAAGCGGTTTATAATAAAGGGTTTGACAGTATCTTTATCGGTCACATTATTGCTGACACCAGCGCTAGTAGCCACCATACTCGGACGTCTACCAAAGTCACAATACTGGTAACACCGGACGCGACTTCTGCAGGACCGACATATGAACTGTCGACACTATGCTGGGCCGGTAGGCTGGTTAAAGTTGTCGCCGCATGCAATTAGAGTTTGACTCGTCAAAACCATAGCTTTTAAGTGTTTACCCACTTATGCATGCTAGGCCAACAATACATAGCGCTCACCGAGCATTATGGTTATGCTTTTCCAAGGCTACCATCGAAAAATGTCCCTCATACTGGACTTGAGAGCCTCGCCATAAAGCACCACGACACGCTGAGTGTCATGTAGGCCACTACCAAAGTGGAGCATGACTATGCATGCTGTATTTAGGCAAAGCGGTGCAAGCTCGCAATTGCGCGTATCTTATAAAGCGGCATTTGAATGCCAAACCACTAAGCTGTCAAAGCGTTGGACAACTTATAAATATTGCGTCTGACCCATATGGTGTATGTAAATTTTCATCAATATGCGTCTACAGTTATACATTCGACATTAGCCAATAACAGCGACGCTGACGCTGAATACCATCTTAGTAGCACAAAAAACTTAAATCTGATTCTGAGACTGCGGTCCTGTGTTCGTCAAGCACTTTATCTTTAGCATAGCTGTGGCCTATTGCCTCTGGCACGCTCGCAGGATCCGCCAACACGTAAAGCTGACCCGAATTATATCCTACTCAGTGCGTATACTCGGCAAATTAAGAAAAATAATTATTTTGCCATTTTTTGTGAGAGATATGCTGACGGTAAACACTGGCCAATTAACAATGGTACTTTTCTTTGTAGTATGTGTCTACAGGCATGACATTCTAAGTAAATGACCCGAGAAAGGGACTTCGTACGCACCAAGGGCAATGTCCACGAAAAGAGTAATGGAGCGCATACATCGTTTGCAAGATTTCCTGTGATTCGCCACATTCGATTTTCCGTGCTTCAACGGCTTTTGGAAGAAAATATCGTCAAAGAAAATTTGCTATGACTTGAATAGCTGTGTGACCAGACGAATGAACGCCGCTGGTGCATTTGACAATTTCGGTGGCATAATCAGCTACTAATACAGGCCCACATCTAAATTACTCGCCGCGGTGAGAGAGAAATCACTGCTTCTCATCAAAAGTTGATAACATTTATTAACCAGGCGGAGAGCAATAGTTTCAATGCAGCCAGCCATGATGTTGCAACAATCCGTTTCCGAGATCGACAGAAAAAATGGATGCATTTAGCTCACTTTAAGCATCCACACGTTAGCCTTTTTGACATCGAAATCTGGCACCGAGTGTAAAAATTTATCCTCTCATCGAAGTCGTTCAATTTTACACGGGAGAGAATCTAACTGACGTTACACGATTCACTTAGTAAGGGCCATTTTCGTCTGACACAATATGTTGCTCCGGAAATCAGATCAATCTCATGAAGCATTTCCCCTTATCGTGGGGGGAGCATGCGTGACGAATCTTTGTTTATTTTATGACACCGTATCATTTTCTAACAAAACGCGGATACTGACTGATCCATCCTTTCACTCTATAATCTGCGCGTATTCTTAATGACTGGTTAACGGGTAATAAACTACGCTCTACCTCCAGTATGTATTAATTTGGTCACTAAACTTTGTAGCACTTACTTAAGCACATAATCTGGGAGAGTTTCATCCAGATAATTGAATGTTTTTCTCGGAGATAAAGGAAATTAACAGGCTACCATATTTTCTCCGCACATGAGTGAATAATATTTCTCGTCACAAACCCATGGGGTTCCACAGATCCACGCTGTAGACCTCTCACATGGATGACAATGCTGTGACTTTGCGACAAAAGTGCGTCATCGTGTTTATGTTTAAACGCTGGCCCTTCTACTTCGTCTTACAGTCGCGCTTTAACGTGCACTGGAGACGGCAGCACCCAGCCGTTTCTACTCACCGCCAGCTTTGGACAGAAGATATTGTTTCTTCGTTGCTCTCTTCCATTTCATTATACGTACACTCTGGAGACAACGATGCTTCCCATACCACTAAAACCGTGGCTTTTGCTTTCCAAAATTTGCTGAAGGAATCTAGCAAATTTATTGCTCTCAATTCCTTACGACCTTATGCTTTCTACAAAAATATTACAGCTTCATGCCAGCATCAAAAGCGCATTTGCTTGTCGGTACAGGTAAATGATGTCTATTTTAAGCTCCACCATACGAGAAGTGCGTGGTGCCTGATTGCTTTGGCTTCCAGTCAACGTTTTACCTTCCAGTCACGCCATACCCAGGATGAGATTGTATATCAAATTCAAGTCCAGACCGGGACAATGTTTCATGCTGTCAAAGTCACAAACTTCACCTGAAGGTTTGGCAGAACTGTTTCTTTTTTACGTAGGTCCTCGTTCGCAAGACACACGGGTAACATATTCGATTTTTCCATTTTCAATGCCTTTGCGTCCTATCTACTATTTTCAGATGCAGCCGCGGGTGATACGTAACCACACAGTCTTCCTAAATGTCGATAGCTTACAACACCGGAGGCATAAATACAAACAAACAGTAACTCTGGGTAGCGAACTCAACCCCTCTAAGAGTACGTCTTTCTTTTTCAAATCGGTCCCATTGACCACAACTCGTAATCTTGGCTATTCGAAGTATAAAAAGTTAAAATTAATGCTAATTATACTGATACCAAACTGCGGGTCATCATCTCCATTAATACTACTATTTTGATACGTGAATTTCGTGTAATGGTAAAGAGCACAAGATTATAGTACTTGCCTTGCGTTAACACACTTTACCTTTCAAGTCATCAATCTCCAGCTTATGTCTTGATATCTCATCATGAGTTCACATCTTGGTATTTCAAAATCCGGAGTTAATAGTGTAAGGAGTACGTTCACCACAATGCGAATCTCGCTCTCTGTAGTAAAGTAGGCATATTTACAGTACGCAAGGCTTCTATGTAAAATGCGTTTGCAGACCCCACGCGACAAAGACTATTTGTATCATCGATTGCTTTGTTTTACATCATAAATTAACTCAACTGCGAAGTAATAAAGATTCATTCTAGAAAGCATTCACGGGGATAAGTGTGATCGATAATTCCTACTTTTGTAACTGAGTGAAATTCCGAGGCTAAAAGGTTGGCTTTCTTCGAGACCGCGGAGTTCCCATTGCAACTCCTTCATCTATTTATTCCAAAACTTCAAGCAATGACAATTATTATTTTCACAAGCTTCTCACTTACAAATAAGCAGATTTTATATAGTAATTACAAAAGTGTAAAGGGTGGGACCCCAATAAGTGCAAACTCGCTAGATCCCCTTTTCTCCGCCTTTGTTGTACTTTCATGAGCCCTATAGTCATATGCGAGACCGCCATGGTAGCTAATGTCAATACCATTCACCTCCTTGTCTCCATCTACACGTAACCCGACTGTAATCTTCAGCAAGAACAAAAGAATTATCGTCACCACAAATGAATACGCTGCGGCTACAATCTGTGATACCAATTGATGGAGAAATAGCTCGCCATTACCGTAAAATGCGCCATTCTTGATGTTCGGATTTACATCTGATGTGGCAAACAGGCCAGTCATAAGGCCACCCATGACGCCAACACAGCCGTGAATGGCAAATGAATCGAGGGTATCGTCATAGCGTAAATGTTTTTTCATCAAGATAGCCGCGAAACCAGTGGCTGCTCCTACTACACCAAAAATCACCGCTGCCCAAGGGTACACGTAACCACAAGCTGGTGTTATT